CACCTGGAGCACCTCCCCTGTGAGGAAAGGCTGAGAGAGTTGGGCTTGTTCAGCCTGGAGAAGAGAAGGCTCTGGGGAGACCTTATAGCACCTTCCAGTGCCTGAAGGGGCTACAGGTAAGCTGAGGGAGAACCTTTACAAGGGCCTGTAGTGACAGGACAAAGGGTAACGGGTTTAAAGTGAAAGCGGGGAGATTTAGATTAGATATCAGGAAGAAGTTCTTCACAGAGTGTGGTGAAGCACTGGAACAGGTAAATATTGTATACTGTTTAAAAAACAAAATTCATACCTGGTTTTAGTGCATAGTGCATTGTTTTCCTTGTTGTATTAGTGTCATCAACCAGCTTTGAAAAGTAAAAATTGAATTTTATTTTGTGGAAATTTAATTTATTTTCTGCAATATGTAAACAACTCTAACAGCTTTCATGACTAAATGTGAAAAAACTTACTGTTCAAAAATTATAATTAAAGAGCACCACAAACTGTTAATTAGTGAAATCATTTGTCTTTGTTGGTACAGTTTGATGTTGAAACATCAATTTTCACAGTTCACATACTGCCATCATGAAGAGAAATGCCCACCTTTTAACTGTAGTAAAAACTGACCAAATCACAGAATTCCAGTTAAAAAAAAATATTAAACAATCCAAGTCCTTGAATTATGCAGGCCCACAACTTTACTAGAAGCCACAGATGAAACTGCTGTGCACTCAGAGAAGCAAAGCTATGGAAAGGTCAAGAACAATCTGTCTAAAAACTTTTACTTGCCCAGGGTAAATCAGTAGGCTGTCTGAAGTCCAATTTTACCAAAAAATGACTTGCCATACTCTAATTTCAGTCAATTCCTCCATTAACATACCCATTTAGCTGTTGTACAAATGACTATTTATAAGTATTACCTCAATTATGTAATCCCCTGGAGATACATTCTGAAGAATACAACTTGTAGTATCTGTGTTTTGCTCCTACATCAAAGAAAGAGAATACTTTGCAAGCCGTTCACATACTTTTAAAACCTAGTCAGAAATATATTCACATTGATTTAGAAATACATGGTGTCTCCTGTATTAGGACACCTTAAACCAGCAAAACTAAGTCTCTCTGTTCAAATATGCAAGTACTACAATCCTTTACCTGCAGAACTGAAATATGATTCATCGTTCAAAAAAACTCTTAAAAGTTTGGTCTAATAAATAAACTGTACATTATGCCCTGAAGCTCCTTACCTTTCAGAGAATTAGGATGAAAGGTTGACCAGTAAGAACAAGCCTGCCATTGAGTAATGACCAAAGGTAAGGAATACAATAGAGCCAATTGCAGCTCCTATAATAAGACTGAGGCACAGAGCGGTACAAGATCAGAGAGCCTAATTCCATGCACACACTAACATGTCAGCTGTCTTGTGATACCACCTCAGGTGGGTGATCTATGAAGTGGTCAGATTCGGTGCAAAGGTAAAATAAGAAAGTAGGAAATAATATGCATAACAAACATCATAAAACTGCCGTCCAGTCCTATTTAGGTGTAGGGTCTTCAAGAGAGAGAACAGTCTTTCCCCATTTGCTTACACTGTCCAGCTCCAACAGAGCCCTCAAGCCTGGTTTTGACTGATGAGTGCTATCACAATACAATTAGTACTTATGTAAGTAGTACCAAATAGTTTTAAAATTTTAAAACTAAAGTATTCTGTATTATATTAAGTTTTTAAAGTTTTCGTAAAACCTTCAAAGATCTACTGCTAATAGGTTTTGTGCTTACAAGAGTTGCAAAACTCAGCAACATACCTGTTTGCAGGTCTTTTGCTTAAACGGCCCTTCGTGCTTAAGTTTGTAGTGAAGAAAGTAGTATCTAAACCCAAAGTTGTGAGGTGCATGATCAAAGGACACTTGCATGTTAAAACCCTGCTGGGTAACATTCAGATTCCTTGGCTTCCAGTCTGTCATAGGAGATATGAATGAATTAGAAAAAAGTGACTCTTCAAGTACAGTAACTTTTTGTATACTGAATATACAGAAAGTATGAATTTTACTCACAAGGTTTGCAGACAAGGTTTTCTGGTTGTAGCAACAATTCACATGCTACAAATAATAGACAAAAATTATTAATGATACAGTATCAAAATGCCATGTTACTTAAATAGAAAAAGAACAAGGATAACATAAGGGAGTTCATAGTTTTGAAGCCAAGACCCCCATATCTTTCCCAGGCTCTAATATGCCTGGAGTAAATGTATTTGTCAAACTTAGCTGGTCTGGTATGATTTTGAGTCCCTTCTCATCTTCAGATTAGAAACATAGGTTCCTTGATTTGAAAATAGCATTCCTTAGTGAGACAAAAGGGATAGCACCAGGCACAGCACAGCAGGGGAGGAAGTTGAAACTAGCCTTAAATACATTTTCTCAGAGTAAATAAGTACACCGAGCACTATTACAAAGACAAATGTTACTGCTGTCTGCCTCAATAGACAAACCTGAAAATAGTTTAAGAGAAGTTTTACAGCACAAAAATAACAAATAGCATTCCTTAGTGAGACAAAAGGGATAGCACCAGGCACAGCACAGCAGGGGAGGAAGTTGAAACTAGCCTTAAATACATTTTCTCAGAGTAAATAAGTACACCGAGCACTATTACAAAGACAAATGTTACTGCTGTCTGCCTCAATAGACAAACCTGAAAATAGTTTAAGAGAAGTTTTATAGCACAAAAATAAGTAGGACAAATATCAACACTTTACTCCAAAGGGTACTTGCAGTTTCTCACCACACTATTTAAGCACTGAGGAGCTTATTCAAATTTCTTCTAATTCCAATGAGAATTGCTAAATAATTTTGAGAAATACAACTTAATTTGTTGCTATCTAATTTTATATGTACTCACCTACATCTATCTCTAGATACCTATTTTTGAAACTGTGATCTCAAAAACAACAACCACCTGAGCATCTTCACTATGTCCAGAGAAGAGAAGGGCAAACCATCTTTGGGAGTCAAATGTTCCCAAGAACCATGGAGTAATCCTGCTGCAGGCAAACCTGAGATAACCTCAGGCCTACTTCAGACTTTGTCTGGCTGTTGCCTAACATGTATTATCATACACCACAGATTTATCTGTGGCATCCAAATTCTTCCCACTTAACACCCAGATCTTCCTTCAAAGTCTACGTCAGTAAGTATCTTAACCACGACTCATCTAATGTCATCGTCTACTACACTCCTTTGTTGGGAAAACTAAAAAGCCAGGGCTGGGCCAGACGGGGAGGGGGTGGGCAGCACCCATCGGTGAAGAGATGACACGCAATACTATATTGTATGCAATACTTACGTTTAGTTCGGAAGAAAAATGGGTGATAGTTACTTTCATTTTTAATGGAAGGAAAAGGAACAATCTTTACAAAGTAATCTGTTTCAAACTTCAGATTTACAAAGGGCTGGGATTCCATTCCCTACAAACAGACAAGATTGTAACATACTTTAAAATCAACAATTAAAACGGAATGTACCTTTCAAAACAAACCCACAGTTTTGCAAACAGAAGCAGAAATGAGGAGTCCCTTATCTACCCCTCTGTTACACACTGACACGAGGAATCTCAGTACGGGGTTGGGTGTGGACGATTACAGATGTGCACCTGCACTCCAGAGTCACCCAAATGACATCTTCCAGCTTTACGAAAGCTTCTGCAGAAGGAGACTAGATCTGTCTCTAGATCAACAGCGATCATTAGTTTAAAGAATATGACTTCTAAGAAGCAATCTGTCCCCTAGTAAACAGCACATCATGTATGTATGGAGAGAGAGAGAGACTCAGATTTACATGCAGCATATAAGCACTTTCAAGGCCACTCACACAGTCAAGCAACACAAACTTTTCTTGAAATAAAGCACTTACTGTTCGTTTAAAACTGGGGCTGAGCTGCTTCGGATCTTTTAGAACCATCTGCTGGCACTGTCTTCCCTCTGATTTTAACTCCTCAAGTATTACTCGAAACCCTTTCAGGTATTCAATCCCTGCAAACAGCAGGGCATTTAAACAGATGACTAGCATTTCCAAATGCACAATGTGGTGTTTTATGTCACTGAAACACATTTTATTTCTCTTTAAAAATAAACATGTTTCATATGAATGGTAAGTTTTGTGGTTTAGTACCTGTTGTTGTCAATTCTTCCCACAGTTTCTATCTTGCCTATTTAGAATTCCATCTTTGGCAGAGGCTGCAATTACTACATACTTGTGTAATGCTCAGAGCAGAGGGGCCCACATCTCAGCTGGGGCTTCCAAATTACCACTGCAATGTAAGTTATCGTTACCTTCATCACCCTCAGGGGTATTTATTTTATCACAGCTCCACATTTCCATTAGCAGCAATGAAACACAACATTTTGTGAGCAAATTGTAGAAATACACCTTTATAACATCCTCCTATCATTTCTGACACTGCCAGATTAAAATGATAGCAGTTGTTACAACTTCTTTAGTTCTGGATAACAGAAAACTTGACTTAAATGGAATGGAATTTATTCCAGTGCGTGAATACTTCCAGTTCCTTATAAGTGATGCCAGAACTACACCCATTCATTCCAAGTTACTCTAACAGAACTAACTCTCAGCTCAGTGTCTTGACACTTCCCTGCAATGCTCTCATCATGGCATTACGGAAGCGAGTCACGGTGATGCAAATGTCACAGGAAAACGCCAGTCTGTGAGAGTTCTGTGGCCCAGGTATCAAAGTCGCTGCATAGTTCTTCAAGACTAACTACCACTACTCCACCTAATTAGATATTTCAACAGCATTACATATGGCAGAACACACATTATCACAGCCACAGCCTCTGTAAGCTAAATGTAACATAAACCAACATGGGTTGATTTGAGTTTATGCTATGTTTGTCAAATTAAAAACAAAACCCCAAATGTATAATTTCCCATGGACCTCCTCTGCTTCACTAGTTTTCATGGCTTTGTGGGGCCTTTTAAATGTTTCATAATCTTGTTGAAGATACAGAACATGAATTGCCCAATGTGTTCTTAATATTCCATGGAACAAAAGCACTATTTGTGCTTACATGAAGACTGTGAAGGAGAAAGTGCCCAATCCCCATGTCACCCGAGATGTTTCAACAGCAGGTCTGTCCTCATGCTTTCCAAAGGATTAACCTCTGTTCATTACAAGAAAGAACACCAAGCTTTACTTCCCATACAGATTTGATTCATCCAGTCTGCAGCTGAAGATTCCCAACTGCTTTCAACTGCACAGTTCTGCAGAATTAAGTGTAATTTTCATATACTCTTTTAAACCCAAGAAATTAATAATTATTTTTAATTAAAAAAAAATATATGGAAGCATTATTTAATACTGGGAAGTCACCAAAAAAAAAAAAGTCTTAACTAAAATGTTTGATTTAATAAATGCAGGTCTAGAATAAAGTATTTTTACCTTACTAAATCATTAGAAAAAACTGATTTAAAAGCTTTTTAAGGGTTTTTAAGGGAGTATGAACCATGAAATATCAAGCTGAGACTCAGCTGTACCAAATTTTATTTTTGAAAACTTGCAGTTTTGCAAAGCTGTTAAGAATTTCTTTCTTCTTAAGCAGCTTGTTTCAATGCCTGTAAGCATAATTTAATAATTTTACTTAATACCCATCAGTAAAACGTTATTACCAAAGACGTGATGAATTAGTCCATTTCCCTCTATCACTTACCGATGGCATTTGCTGTCCAAAGTACTGTCACTGCAACCTGCTCAGAACAGGCGTACTGACTGATAGTTATGTTCTGCACATCTCCAATGACGTGTTTTCCCACTGAGTTCAGGTAAGGCGTGCAGTCTAAAAATACAGAGAAATAAAGGCTTTCAGAAAAACATCCTAGGGGACATTCTCGCACCATACCAGAGTAAGTCATAATCTGCCAACAGCACCTAATCTTAAAAATCTATTCAAGCAACCATTTTCCAACACGACCCTCATCTTTCCATGTAAATAAAGAATTAAGATCATTTCCTAACATTTCTTCAAGACTGAGCAAAGTAAAAGTATATGTGCCCTATTTATTCTAGAAAAAAATAAGCACTGTATTACAAATCTAGATGAACCTTTTGTCTCAGGGCACTGAAAACCATAAAACTTCACAAATCATTGAGCACAACCACTTTCACCAGCTGCAAACCCCAATTTCACAGGGGTCCAGAGGAAATCACTAGTTTATAATACCAGAGTAGCCTGTACTACAGTAAGAGTGAAAATGACCCATGCTGGGACTCCCACAAGAGAACAAGTTTTCCTCACTAATTACTCAAAAGAATACGAGTACTGACATCCATTCTGTGTGTGTACAGTGCTTGGAGAAAGAGAATGTTGGTCAGCAATCAGCCACGTATGAGAACAAGGAACAAGGTGAAGCTTTAGAATTGGTGCTCAAGAAGTGCTTTTTAACCACGACACTGCTTGATCCTGACTATGGAGAACCTACTGCCCAAACTCGTCTTATCTCTGTCACCCATGCAGTAGCCACATCCCCACATACCATTTTCCTACCACTGCATCCAGTCAGAACTGGTTTTGTCTTGTTATCCTCACAAAATACAGTGTATTCCCTAAGGTTACAGCTCTGCAAAAGAAAAACTTAAGAAAATAAAATATAAGAAAAATATTCTTGACTTGGTTGTTGAACTTGACTGTGTCTTTATGCATTCAAAACAAGAAAACAAATAACCTCAAAATTTATTATTTTTAAAGCCCCACAATGTTTAGGCTCATATTTTGAGGCAGGAAGAGAAGTGGCAGCCAGAGAACTGAACAGTTTTGGAGCACAGTACACACGAAGATGTGTTATGCACAAACATTCTGCTTCTGAACTAGTGAAGCCAACAAAATCCAGAAAAAGCTGACCAGTAGACTACATATTACTGACTGATGACCGATTCTGAAGAACTGAGATACCTATATGCTACGTATTTGTCTGACCACAGTTCATAGAAATGAAACAGGAAAAATCTAGCATTACGATAAGCCAATGCAGGAAATTTGCATTCAGTTCAGAGGTGTGATCTTAAAGGCAAGGAAAGCAAAATTTTTAACTGAAAAGCCGTTTTAGAAAATGGCTTTTTACTATGAGTAACAATGGCAAGGGGTCTTTTATGTGACTGCCACGCAAATGAGAACAGAGCCGTGTGTACAACACTGCCTCTTACAAAAGCTGGGCAGTTGGTATTTACTCTGCTGTTGGTCGCATTCTGTTGCTACGAGTGAACTCAATGACAGCATCAACTTCCTCTTAGGAGAATAGAGTATCTCTTTCAATGGAAAGTTTGAAGCAACAGTTTTTTGCTAGGTCTGGATCTAATTAATAGCAAGCCCGAGATTTTGGATCCTGGTTAGTACAATTTTATGGTCAAATGACAATTTGCCAAAATGGAATACAGCACAAATGTCTGAAAAGTTTGACCGTGAGTCACTGATTTACATTTTTAAAGAACAACAGATTTAGGAAGAAAACAGCAAAGGGAAATTGCACTTTTCAGGAAACCACTTCTTTTACTTAAGTACAAGTAAAATGCTAAAACATACAAATTAATTTTTCACCTGAATAAATAATCTAACCAGCTAATTTAACAACATAAACCACAGTTCACTAGAGTTGCTGTGCGGCAGAATGAAAGCCTTTAAATCAAAGCCAGGAAGCCAAATTCTCTTTTGTGCTGGCTTATTCACAATAAGTATGTATTCCCATATTATACAAACTCTTTAGCCTTGATACCAGGGAACTCCTCCTGGTACTGCAGAACTCAAGTAACTCCTTTGTCCCGGAAGCATGCAGTGCCAACAGAATTTTGAAGTCACACTTGTCAGTTCCTGGTGCCAGAATTAATGGAAAAAACGTGACAGACACAGGGACTTAAACAGACTCCATTGTGTTAACTAAACGTGGGGATCTCTGGTCTGACTGACATTATTTCCGGGTGTTTTTACGTAGAGAAAAAAATTGTAAGTCTCTTGTAGTGACCACTCACCTCCTGTCCAATCTGACATACCTAGATTTTGCTCATTTAAAATATTAACATCAAATTAGATTTTTAAAAAATTAACAATGAAGGATTGCAAATTCAAAAATTAACATAAAAATAAAGGAACATAAGGAGGATCAGAACGAAACAAAAGCCCTTTTGTTAAGTTTCCTGATACATGCTCTCGATGAAATTTTACCCATATCCAACATCTGAGGTAATTTCTTTGGGCAGGCAAACAACCCGACCTGTGACTTGCGCTGGCATTAATACAAACATTGCTGCTGTCAATTAGGACCTTCTCTTGCCTGTACGTTGAGTTTATATTGACAGCCACTAACTGCCCAAATAAGGATAAATTTCCAATGCAGTCGACAGTCATAGTTTACTGACTAGACAACACAGATGCCTAAAAACCTTTAAAAAATAAAACCAATAAGATACAGCCATTTAGCAGATGTTTGAAGAGGTTTGAAGTATTATTGCTGCAACCTGCTTATACTGTCTGTTATTATGCTGGAGATTACTTTCTTAGTTTAGCTGCAAGACAGACCACATCTGCTACAGTACTGAAACCATCTGTCTTCACTGAAAATCTAGACAGCAGTTTTCCACTAACCTGGTCCTTTAGCACTGTAATTAATGAAGCTAATCTTCAACTAGATGAGGAGATGCTATTTATATTCAATATTCACTTTCAATATTAATCTTTGCAAAGACACATTTTTAATACATTCCCTGTATACCAACACAAACTACGTGTTTCCTACTTTGAGACACACTTTACACAACCTTCCCCTAAAATTACACCAGATGTATAGATGTATAAAGCTTGAAATAACCCTTTCCTATGACTTTGTGTGTAGAGAACCTGTCAATGACTACGTTCTTTCACAGAATAAAATCACTCTCTACAATCTTCCAGCCAAAATCTGAGCAGATGATGTAGGCCAATCTGAAAGTGAATCTACTACAAATTATTAGGTGATTTTATTATCAGTGAAACACAGGACGGAGAAGATCCATCAGACCCAGCAGAAACAAGTCTAGCTCTTAAAATTATGTAAATACTAAAGAGCTGATGCTATTCTTAGAGCAAATTTTAAGATAAATGTTGCTATAAACTCATAACTGTGCTCGCATCCTTGATTTCCATGAATATAATGCAAATTTTCAACTTACTGTCATATTTAAAGGTGATATTAAGTAGTCCACTGGTCTTGGTCACTGGTGACAGCCCCTGCAGAGAAATATGAAGAAAATAATTTGAATAAAGTAAGCAACTTTAAACTTATGTAGATTTTTATTTTGTAAATAGTATGTTGGAGGATGACAGAACTCATGATTTCTCCTTCTGTTTGGGCACACTATCCATCATTCTGATCACCGAGCAGATGGCATGCAACAGCATGCACTCACCTGTCCTCAACTCCCCAAATGTAATACTCAAAGAAGTAAAACCAAAGAGGAATGCAAGTCTAATATTTGCATGAAGACATGAAATTGTGATTTAAGCAGCATGACTTGCCCAGTCGATAGGAATCATATATGCTTGTTTTGAAAGTAAGTTATGTGATGTTAACTTCCACCATCTACATTAATCATATCTATACAAACCCCACACCTTTAATCAAGGTTTAATGAGAAGTCAAATTGGGTTCTCTAGGGTAAACACAATACAAGGGGAGAGAGAGGGGAGAGAGGGGAGGTTATCAGCCTGAAAAAGCTGATCTCAATTCCAGTGTCATGAGAAAAAGTATCAGAAGTTCAAACAGAGAGAAGGAATGTCACTGCTATGCACTGTGGTCATAGCACTTCAGCTCTATTTTCTTGGTGAAGGTCATTTTCAGACAAGAAATTAAAGGTAGGAGCAAAAGCGCAGAAGAACTGATTCAAGAGCACTCATCACCTCCCAGACACTCCTCGTGGCATTAACCATCCCAGAACAGGTGCCGGAAGGACTCTATTCTCTGTCAACTGGCAAATTAACCCACCAAATTTTCAGCACACTCAGAATTCACCTATAAACAGGTCAGCTTTTTTTTGTAGGTCTAATATTATTCAATGCTCCTAAGAACTGCACAGAACTCAAAGCTTAACATAAGCTGAGGTACGACAAGCCAGGACACAAAACCTATGACCTGGTTCATCAGTGTGCCTGAACTGCGCATGGGAGAGAGTATCTGTGTCCAGTGTCCAGATACATACCCACATCCATCCATTACATTATTTTATACAGACAAAAACATGGGTGGAGAATCTGAATGTTGCCACTGATTATTGGCTGAAATCAACAAATAGTGAAAGGAGAACAAATGAACCAGTGGATTTCCAACTGGAACAATTCAGATAATTATATCCCAGAACTTTTCCTCCAGTAGAAGTGCATATTGTAGAAATCCATTTTGCTACATCAGACACACTTTTCTATTACCAAACACTATTAAAACAGATACTGCTGACCTCGCTGAGAGTCACAGAAACCAGAGACCAACCGGAAAGCTATCCCATTACTCCCGCAGGGAGGAATCCAGACACACGCACAAGCTGATGAGTTTGATATCTCTTCTATACCTATACAAAAGAATTTTAGACTGCAGAGAGAGCAACACCTTACCCTTCAGAAAGCACTGAAATCGTTTGTGAAACACAAGAAGCAGCATCGCCCTCACCCTTACTAGACACAAAGTTGAAAACTCTAACGCTGATTCTCACATAGTAATGTCATTCCCTGAAAGGCCAATATCATATTTACTATTATATTTAAAAAACTAACACCCATTTACAGGGAATTATATCTGGTTTTTACAGCTACAATGTAAAGGACGGAAGTTAAGAGTATAAAAGGGCTCTAACAGTAATTATATGTTGTCACAATCACATGTAAACATTCACTGCTTCTCACTTCATAGCCAGACCCAGGTGTTTTGAACAAAAAACAAGGCACGACTCAAGTTACCTTAGAAAAAAACACCCAAAACCAACTGTAAAATACTGCATAAAGAACGAAAGCAAAGCAGATCTTGACAGTACTGTTAGAAGGGAAATCTGTAATCTCACTTTCTTCGTAGGTGGCTTTTCATCTGCTTAACTTTGATTTAGTTTGGCATTAAACAAGCTGTTATACAAAAAGGTTTCCTGAAACAGGAAGGCATCAATTTTTTTCAGCCAACTTTTCTATTAATAACTGTTCTATGCCGACTCATTTTCTGTTTCTCTTCAGCTATATAAAATCTCATTTAACTTACTACTAGAACAAAACAAAGACATCATATGTTTGATTAAAAACATTTTTAAAAAACCCAAAACAAAAAGAAACTACTGACAATATTTATAAAGGCAGATAAACCATCAAATTATTTGCTACCCATCTCCCTTTTGTGTCCTAAAGCTCACATTTTGAGACATAAATTTCACCAAAGCCCATAGAAAATTAGCAAAAGTACTTTAATTCTTTAGATAGGATCTTTTATATACTATTCTTTTAAAAAAATATAATATAGCAATGATTTTTACTTCACCTTTAATTGCCTTTCTACTGGAATTACGGAGACATCACAAAACATGTAACAGTATAAATCAACCTACCACTGTCATTAATAAAGTAGATGCAAAAAGTAATTGTAACATAAGGCAAACTCTGCTGAACTTCAGCAGCATATATTTACTGGGTGTAAAACTTTGCGCCCAAGTGTATAAAAGGTTCAAAAATGCTGCAGTAATTTGGGAGAGATTTAGGGGCACCTTAAAGTGCTGAACAAGACAATCGTCATATGCGTTACAAGTAAAAACACGTGAGCTGGTCAGACAATTTGATTGTGCTAAACTTTGGTATTCATCATCCACGTACTTACTGCCTCGAGTTTAAAAATAGATTCTTCCAGGAAGCATTCCCTTGTATTTAAGCCATCAAGTAATTGTGCTATTTATATGTCTTACAGCTAAGACAACTTGTTTAGAGCATCCAACTTTAAAACTATAAATACTAATGCTATGGCCTCCGGGCTCTACATTCTTAGTTAATTAACCACTAACATTTGTTGAATTTACATGCAGCTTGTAATTTATTCTGAACTTTACTAGAAAGAAAGTCTCCATTGCCTGGAGCTTTGTCTATAAAACCCCTTTGGTCCACACACATCTATACACACTGACTGAGAAGGAGTACGTAGGAAAGAAAACAGCCAAAACATCTTTTATGAAGAACTATAGACCACAGATCTTCACACAGATTGCCGAAGATGAAATGCACACAGATTAAATGACAAATCTTGTTTGTCAAAAAGTGGGGCTGGCCGGGTGTTATCCATAACAACATTAAATCTCACCATATGTGAGCTCAAAGCACAGAACTCCCCAGAAAACATGATAAACTAAGATCCAAATCCTGCATCTATATTGGGCAAGCAAGCCAGAAATAATTTCTCACCTATCTCAGAGATCAATGCTGGATCTGTTCCTCAACCCACCTGAACAACCTGGCAGTTAAGATCCTCAGATACTTTAAATCAGCACAGTTCTGAATAACACTGACACCCATCGTCTCCTGAAGAATGAGCAACATTGGGATGCTCAAGGAATGTGCAGGCATTTCATTTTACTTAAATATTCATCTTTCAATATGAAAGAGCACAAGTGTTAATAAGAGTCACAGAACATGACATTAAGTTAACACGTATTTTTGTTTCTGTTTTTCTAGTACCTACCCTTCATTTATGGTAACAACTTACTAATGAAAGGCACTTCTGACACCTCTTTCTACCCATTACTAGGCCAGAGAAGAACAAAGTTTATTTTCAGAAATAAAGCTTAAATGAAATTTTAACCACAGGAACTAATTATGCCTCCAAGAAAAGTTAAATTTAACTAATGCCTTCCATCAGAGGCATAAATTACATACAGTGGGAAGAAATTTAAAAATCTGCTTAATTTTTATTGTTGAACTTTTCCCTCTTCGTTTTAATCAAGAACACAGAGTGTTTCATATATGGAAGTAGCATCTGCTTTTTTATATTGCACAGTTTCTGCCAGAGACGGCATTGGTGCTTTCAGAACTGTCCTATGAACACACATTTCCTCAAGTAACACTGCAATACACTCCAACACTCAACTTCTGTTGAGCAAACACTCTCTCATTCCATACAGGCAATTTATGTATGTGAACAGGCACTGTCAAGCAGCCACTTTTAACATCAATACTAGGAAACAGAGAGAGATGCTAGCACTAATTACAGAGATCTGGTAAAGGAGGTAGGAAATCGCTACCCCTCAAGCACAGCCTTGTGCACCAGACCAAAACAGTAATCATGATTCATCTTTCATATGGTGTTAATCAAGGCACACATGGTCCCAATTTCATGCTCCCATGAGGCAAACTGAAGGGACAATTGTTTTTGAACTCTAACATCAAGTTGAATAATCAGTGTTTATCATACTCATTGCTCAGTAAACTAATTGCTTTATAGTTGACATCTGCTCTTTTCATTTTAAAGCTTTCTTGATGCTTTCAACCAAGTTAAAATATTTTCTGTTTCTACAGTCATCAGTAAAAAGACCAATTATCTGTACTATTTATACGCCTGCATCTTGGGTTGCTTCCAACAGAATATAACAACATACATAATCCATGCTGATGTTTGCTATATAACTTGTGTGTACTCCACTAATGCAGAATGAATTCTAAACCCTGGCTGGATGGGTTTGCACTGTTATTACCATATCCCTGTGCAACTCACAATTCCAACCATAAAGCTGGTTCAGATTTGCCTTTGAAAAAATATACACACATTATACGGGGATAATACATACACAAATTATGGGGATAGCATTTAAAAAACATCTGTGACACTGGAGAAGTAATTTTTAATAAAAGTGAATTCAAGAAGCAGTAGTCTTCTTGGTGCCTTTTTCATATTTGAAACAGGGACCCAGATTCTTCAAAACATTTTTAACTTCTTTTAGTAAGTTGGCATCTTTCTTTTGTGTTTTTGTTTATGTCAGCGACATAATGATTTACAAGAAATTCCCAGATTTGATTGCTTCTTTGTTGTTAGTTATTTGCTGTTTCACTGCTTCATCTTTAGGGCCACTGCATGGATGCTCAGCCTCAGAGGAGCTGAATGTGAATTCACAGCATCACGACTTGAATTTGGCCTGACATATGAAAGGTAAAGCAGTGGGTTTATTTCATTATAAACTGGGGGGCCAGGGGAGAAAACCACCGTTTTTGAGCATGAAGGA